TACAGCTGAGAAAACTAGTCAGGGTTCTATTTCCATCTTTAACGTTAGTGACTTAGAAATTGATGTCAATGGCAATTGATGTCAATGGCAAAACTGCTACTGACTTAAAAGAAGAGAGGGATTTTGCTTGAGTATTGATGCTCTTTCATGATAATACTAGCTACATATGTTTGGAAAACAAAATAGAATGGGAAACATGGAATAGAATGGGAAACACGGTCCTAAATGATTTCACCAATTAAAAAAAAAATTTAATTCAGTGACTGCTGTCAGTCACTGAAAGGAAATGCACACTGATTTTTAATGAACAATTAAATAAGGTAGATTTTGAAAGAAAAGGTGTACCTATCCCAGTGAAAGAGCTGCTCTAAAACTTAAAATTAGCAAATTACACATTGATGGATTTAATCCATTCAAAATCTTGATCTGGATCCAATTTTTTGCCATTAGGCTTATTTGCAGGTCCAGTGGACCTCTTACATCTCAATTTAAAACCTAATGGAGAAATGAGGAAAAGGATCTGAAAAAGATACCTTTATATAGACCATTGCTATGAAGAGGATGGTGACTGTGAGATGGAAGGTTTATCAACTCTTAAGTATCAGCCTCTTCTCACTGACTGCATTCTGTAAACATATTTACATATATGTTTATGAACATATAAACATATTTACATATAAAATATGTAAATATTAAGCTTAAACTGAATGGCACTTTTATTTGTTTATATACTTTCACTGAGTAGTAAATAAAACAAATTAGAACTTCACATTCACTCTGTTTCTAAAATGTAATGTAAGTAATGTAAGTAATGTAATATTGAGAAGACTAAGATGGATGTTCTTCACCTTCCCAAACAATTTAGGTGTACTACCACATTTCATTTTATGTCCAGATTTTCAATTTTGTTGTCTTTTTATTCCCCTTTTTTGCTCTCTCCCATCAGCTCCAGACCCTTATGAAATTCTCTCAAGTCTTTTAGGCCTCCAGTCACTCCCAGATGCTGCCCTCAGGTACTGACATGCAAGTGGGAAATCCATAGTAAAATTATCTGTGATTGCTGGAAAGCAGGTAGGCATCAAACAAACAAGTTCCCTGTCAAAATAATCTCATGTATCTCTGCAGCTCTCAAATGGCTGATATAGTAGCTACCTGCCTTCTGGGACTCAACACTTTTCTCATCTACATCTCTTTCATAGTCCTGCTGCTAGCTATATACTTTTCCTTGTTTTTCTTTTCCTTTTTTTTTTTCTAGACATATATTACCTTCACAGTCCTATCTTCCCCAAAGTCTATATCAGAATCCATGCCAAAATAATAGTCATTTGCTTTTTCACATTTGCTATCATTGCTTCCATTTCTTCATTTCATCCTACACTTCTTATTGCTGTTGTAGTTGCCCTTTTATCCTCTTTTCTAACTAAAAATTGTCTCAAGCCAAAACCACAGACACATATGTGAGCAACTTCAAACCCGTCCTGGGGTCCCTGAAGTCTTAATCCAGATCCAATTTTTGCAGCTTGAGCCATCTCTAATCCCTAATTGCTCCTGTCATCTCTTTCTCACAGCTCTGGCGGTAAGCCACCATGTTTTATGCTGCCTTCTGTGCTTGGAAATAAAGTTACAATGCCCTCCTGTCTCCTCAGTCTTAGAAACATATTTATTTTCTGAATGCTTCCTTCCACTGACTCTTCTGCTTAAAATTTGTATATGAGCTGTTGTCAGCATTTTGGCTATAGAGTATACTGGCACTCATGACATGCAGCAAAAGCCACAAGCAGCATGCTGCCTTGTGGTCACTCCCCTAAAGAGAGGACACCTACGTTTTTGTACATGATCCAAGAACTTTGGATCCTCAAAGTACTCTTTCTAATTAATATTTCTTGTAAAATATAAAAACAGTCCTCAGGGTAGGAATTAAAAACCTATGTGAGAATCCAAACCGCAAAGCCATAAAGACATATAACTCATGATGCTTTCTTTTAGTACACTGAATTTGCACAGAGCTGCAGCTTCAAAAAAACAGAGTAGCCACTGAAACACAAAAAGGTCTTTGGGATCCCCACTAGGGGATGAGAAACTTATTTTCTACTTGAACAGCAAAGAAAGAATTTACATTTAATACTGTCAAATTTTTCTTAAAAAAAAAAAATAAAAAGTCTTTCATCACAACATTACAACCATTATAATGGTGATTTTTATGATTCCAGTATTGGGATTACTTTTTATTCAGGACTGTAAAATAATTGTGATTCATACACACAGAGATGATACTGCAGTAGTTTGCAGGAGATCTTCCAGACAGTGATTTTATAAAACTTAGTCCAGGCTGTAAATGCTGGGAGTTGCATGGACTATAAGCTTACGTGACCAACAAAGCCAGATGTGAATCCTCAGAACACTGACACATCAGCTCAGGAAATGCCAAAGGATAAAGGTTTATAAAAGCTGCATTTGCGAAACAGTCAGTTCTAACAGAGGAATATTTTTATTTTAGTAATAAAATCACTTCTACCAGGGGACAAGAATTGCCCCGTTAAAATATATATACATGATTCATGTTATCTACTGTTTCAAGAGATGTAGGAAGCAGAGCTTAGGAAGAAAAAAAAAAAAAAACTCCAAAATAACAAATTAACGGATTTAAAAGACAATTCAATTATACTGCTGCACTAGACTATGTTCTTAATGTTCTTAAAGTTAAATATTCAGATTACCAAAACCTCCAGATATGATTATGTGAATTGGTATTGTAGTTCACTGGAAAGACTCTCAGCGTGGCATGACCTAATGGGGGCTAACACAAGCAAGCACTAAAGTCCTGTTAACAGTCTTCTGTCCCTGCAGAACCAACTTACGGACACTACCTAAAGTGGCAAATTTTCTGTTTACAATGAAATAATTTTGCTAATTTTAACAACCTGACACTGGATTAACCATGAAATACGTTAGTGCAAAGATAGCCCACGTACTTTCCATCCAAGAGTACATGAAGAATAGCTGTACTCAGCCTTTGGATTTCTAACAAGTGACTACCCCATAGGAGGTGACTGATACCCCAAGACATTGCAGTGACCTAACTCAAGTAAAGCAAGGAAAGAATGTTCTGGTCTATTGAGAGCAAAAACAAAAATGTGTGGTTTGGTTTGATAAGAATTCCAGAGTGAAGATGAAGAATCCCATCCCTGATGAAGAATCCTTACCCTTCTAGGTAGCCATTTGCTTGTATATAATGGTTTATGTTGGAGCCATTTCCTCCCTCCAATACATATACATCCAGGTATTATAGGAAAAAGTACTTTATCGTTACTTTATGGAAGTATACTTTTCATAAGATCCACAACTGTATTTTTCTATTTTTACTGGATTTGAATCATAATGGCTTATGTCAGTTCAAAAAAAAACAACTAAACAAACAACCAAAAAGAAAAAGATAACCAACACAAAAAAAGAAAACTCTGCCAATTAAGGAAAGCTCATTAAAATCAACCTTTTCTCCTATCTTCTTTTTTTCCTTTTCTTTTTTTCAAGTTCTCATGTAAATTAACTTCCAGATGAAGCTAATCTTTTTAATAGATCTATTCTCTATTCTCCTCCTAGGAATGCCAAATGAATTTTACAATGACATAAGCCCACTGAAGTCACACTTTGATCTAGATGGAAAGAAGAATATCTGATTTCAAGGGTTTGTTTGCTTGTTTGTTTGTTTTAACACTTAATTTTAGTCAAAATTGGAGAAGAACAACAAAGAAATTTGTAATTTCCCGTATTTTGCTGATCTAAGAGGAGTTGAGTTTTTCGTGACCTCATCAGCTAATAGCAAATTCTGGGTTTCACTGAGCTGTTTCAGAAGGTTCCTCTTGCCACACTCTTAACTCTGCCACAGGGCTGGGACACATGGAGCAGACAGGCTCCTACTGTCAAATCCTTGTGTTCTGAAATTGTCTTTGATCTCAAGATGTTTTTAACAAAATGTTTTGAGTTCAGCAAATAAGGAAAATTCATGAGGTATTAGAAGAAGACAGCCTTTAACTTTGTGTTTACATACTGGTCCTTTCACAGGATCACAGCTCATTAAATGAACAGAATCCACAATGTCTCGGGTTCCTCAGTGCAAAGAGAAGGAGATAGCAGAGGAGATTGTCACCTGTTCATCCCACATTTCATTTGTTACATGTTGATACAAGCTGCAAATGAGGCAAGGAATTTCAAGGATGCAAATCTCAGTTTCCTCATTGAAAAAATTTCCTTGAAAAAATGAATACTACCATCTGCCTCTGCCACTGTGTTCCATGAAAGAGTGGAAAAACACGTAAGTTTTCAAGAGATGTTGAATTATTTTTCCTTACTTACTTTCCCTCTATTTTTCATTTAGACACCTAGTTTAAGACAGAAACAGAGAGCTCATATCTACAACTGCAGTTAGCTCCTGTTCCTAGCGCCTGCTGGACTTTGAAAGTAGAACATGGTAATACAAATGGTAAATAATCTAAAAAATCTGACCTACAGCTCTGTCCAAAGTGGGCGTCCAATGTCTGTATACCTTGGTACCATTTTGTTACAATTCCCCGACTGGGGGATGGCATGGGGACGGTTCAATGGGTACAACAAAAGCTACCATCTTGCAGTGGTGGTATGAAATAAATTAATTGCTTGTGTCCAGATTTTGGAAAGGAAAAGGAAGTAATAAATTTTGCTTGAACTCACCACACGTTTTAATTGCACAGAACTCCCAGGGGGTGTTAGGGTCAAGAGTGTAGCACCACGGTCGCAGCTTGCCATCAGGATTGCGGCAGTAATTATCATCAAAGCCCTTGTCAGGATATCTGCAAACCACAGCAAGAAACGTGTCAAGCAAGTCTTCCTGGCAATACTACCCAGGCGCACACAAGGTATGCAAAGGACAATCTTCAGCAATGGCAAATGAGAACCAGTTCCTATTAAACCTGTGGTCCGATCCTGAGATATGGATTCAGACACACTTTAATGCTATTAGAAAGTTGCTGACATAAAATCTCCTTGCAAGCTTGCAGCAGAATCAGGCCTGCACAGAGGGGATCCCCTGCTGTGTTAATGCACAGGCCACCGGATGGGGTAACTCTGCTAATTGCTAGACTCTTGCTCTCGTGTCTGTCAAGTGATGGCCAGACTCTAAAGCGACTCATTTTTTTCAAACAGCCCAATTAAGTGTGCGTTATATAAACACTGCCAGGCAGCTGGACTCATTAAGAAAACAGGTTCTTTAGTGCAACAGCCCTGGGTTCAAACTGGAAGCTGTTTTGAATAGCTTTGTTACTAATGATAGCTCCATTTTCATAATAGAACTCATTCTAGGTCGTGCCCTCATTTCCAGCATTGGGGGGGTGAAAAGAAAAAAGGAAAAAAAAAAAAAAAAAAGCGCCTTCAGTCTCCCTTTATCTCATCAAAGTTTGAAACTGTTGTGCCATTTAATTGTTTCCACATTCCTACTGCCAATACTGGGCAGTTCAAGATAAGGATGCTCTTTTTGTCTAAATGAGCCATACGAACAACTGAAAACTTGAAGAGTAGAAGATAAATGCATTTTATAGTTCTCCTGATGAATACAAATTGTACTGTTTTTTCATTTTTATCAAATCTGTTTGAGAAAGAAACAAACAAAAAGATTTACCCTTGAGGAAAACAAAGATTACATAAGAGAACAAAGTTAGCTACCTAGGAACCCAATCTCATTTACAACTGCAAGCAGATGTGCTTCTCATAAACAGGAAAATATGATTTAAAAGCATGTGTTTTTGCTAGGATGCTTTTTCTATCACACATTCATCCTGAAGTCTATTGTACATTTGGAATTTGATCTCCCATTGCTTGAGAAAAATCAAGCTCCTTCACTGTATATGGGGAAATTGGAATAGTAATAAAGTAGAATTCAAAAGAAACCCAAGGAGAAGCCTCACAAAAATGAGAATTCAAGGGCAGCTGAGAGTGAGATCTAGCAGCACTAGCAACAGCACTCTCTTATGATTTCTTCTATGACCTTGCATTCTGCTAGGTGTGAGGGAAATTGTGAAGGATCATACTGTCTGCAAAAATTGAAGGATCATACTGTCTGCAAAAATTCCCTAAGCAAACACTTTATAGAATAACAATATGGCAGAAAACAAGGTGGCTTTGGACAGAAACTGGCAGTGATGGGCTTTGAAGACAGCAACACACCTGTGCCACATCATGTAGCATTGGAGAATCCATAGCACTATCCACCAACCAAGGAGAGCCGACAAATGGTTGAATCTGTGCAGTTGTCTCTCTCATATCATGGGCTATAAAAATAATTCACTTTCTAGAAGGTAAATACCTAGCATGCTACTGAATGATACATCCTCATCATTTTATGTAAGTATGAATACTACTGAATTGTATTAGTTACTAGCTGAAATGTAAGCATATGTTTGAGGATCAAGCTTTGGCCTTCATTGAGTGAAGTAGTATCCATGAACTCTGTCTTTACCAGCTGTTACATCCATGAGTCCATTAAGAGATTCAGCATGAATAATAAATTAGTGAAAGGCTGGCATGGCTCAAGGTTCAAAACTGATATAAATGTTCTAAGTTCAGGCAGGGTAGATATAGAAATAGAAGTCCCTTTGAAACCTTCCCATTATATGCAAGCAGAACCGTAGGGCCAACAATTTTAAAGCCAAACGTATTAGGGATAGGAAGAAACTTCAAACTGCTCTCAATATTGAGTCTGTGGAGGACTCTCTCCATTTGCTCTGAATATACCTCTCTGTCAATATATCAGGCCCAAATCTTGTCTCTGAAGCCAGCAAAAAATCCTCAATTACCAAGTCCTTTCATAACTCTACACATTTCTTTCGTTCTGTTATTTTTTCTCTCCTTGAAACTGCAACATCTGTACTCCGCTGCAGGAGCTGAAATGAATCATAAAGGTATACATATGGTGTCAAAATCAAGAGTTTTTGTGCCTTTTTTTTTTCTTCTGCTTCTAGGGAAAAAAAAAAAGAAGAGACAAAGAGATAAATTTATTCTCTTTAAGGAGATAGACACTGATCTCTTGCTCTCTTAGTCCAAATAAGCTTTAAAGCTGTCTAAACTGAAATTCAGTGTCTGAAATTAATATGTCACAAACACTTTTTTTTCCCCTCCTTTTTGTTCTAAAATATATTGAGGACTGCAAATCTGATTTTACCTTTAATATATATATATTTCTGATATAAAAATTCGAGTATTTTAATTATTCAGGTATTAAAGCACTGCATTACATTTCATCCTTGTTTCTTTCTTTTTTTTTTTCCTCTCCAAGCAATAAAAGCCTGTATCCACAATGTACTTGGTTTTGAGTAGAAAATATGAGTGGAATAGGGTAGAACTGCTGTTCCCTATGCCTTCCATAACTCTACAAGCCTTTCTCAGTGGTCTTCTTCCCACACCTAGGCAAAATCCTGACTATGAAGAAGACAGTATGGAAGCAGAGCTTCAGAATACAACTCTGCATCCAGTAATAACTAAAAACCCATCAGAGCTGTTGTTTTGGGAAGGTTCCAAGGTTAGGTTAGCTCTAGTCGCATCCAAGTAAACAGCAATTCTCGGTTTTCTTCAGTAATTGTCCTCTCTGAAAGGAAGAAATCTGGAATGTTCCCTGAGAGGGGAAAAGGGAGATGTATTCACCCTGGCCTGAAATTATTCACAGAATCACAAAATACATACAGCTGAAGTTGGAAAGGACCTCTGGGGGTCATGTAGTTCAACACCACGCTGTCCAACAGCAGGTAGATTGTGGAGCTCTTGAAAAGATTAGTGGTTTTACCTCTTCCTCCAGCACAACAATTAATGAACCCATTAATGCAAATAAGGTTAAATCTGCCCAGCTGTGCTAATCCTTCCTGGTTTCCGAGTATTTCACATCACAACTTGATAATATAGAGAACCCATATTTATAAGCCTCCCTGGAGATTGCTGTGCTTTAATGGATCATATGTTCCAGACCTCTTCTCTTATTTACAACTCAAACATTTTTACTTTAAAAAGAAAGAAAGAGAAAAAAAAGAGCTAATGTAATTAAAGCACAATTGCCCTACCTTTGCTGACCTTTTGATGAAGTTAATTAAGATCAGTGTATTAGAAACATCCTCAAAAACAGTTACATTTCCAAAAGCATGCACAGATCAATTTAATCTGTATGGGTTGCTTTTGACTGTTTAATAAAACAGTTTTTTTTTCTAAGCCTGAGAATTCTCAAGAATAATTTTTTGCATTAATTTTTAAGATGATCGAGACTGCGGCTAGTCCTGAAAGTCATTTTTCGAACAAACCAAAATTAAAAGAAAAAAAGATTTTTCCTATTGACAGTAAAATGATTGCTAATTGCGCTCAAAAGCTCTCTAAATGTTTAATTGCTAAGGAACAAAATTCTTTTTGTGAGTTATTCTAGACCGCACATCAACTCCATGACAAAGCTCAGAAACAGATTGTCTTCAGCCTCAGTCTGCTGTTAGGAAATATTTATTGTTGCAGAACTATGGGAGAGCTGGCTATTCTTCATTGAGCAGAGGAAGAGGAAAAACATATCACAAAAAAACATTTTCCTCCAAGAGGAAAAACATCACATAAACTCCTAAATTACAGATCCTTAATATTTTGCTTAATAATCAAGCTTTCTAAAATCTACAAATACTGTACTTCTGAGCATAAAAACCATGATTTTAGTGGACGAATTCAAAAATTATGAACTTACTTTCAGGGAAAGTACATAACCATTCTGTAATTAATGATTTTTGCTGTCCTTCTCTGAGGAAGCTTAAGTTTATTCCATCATTTTCACAAATGGAGCTAATCCAAAACACAGAACTTACTTAAACTAAAATGAATCCTTAGTCTGGCTTAGGAAAGACAAAAGCCCCTCCTGTGTGGCCTAAACCCACACACACAAGCCTTCCAGAAGGCTGTGTTATAGATGACCCTACACAGTTGGGTGAATTTTTCCCTCCAGGGCAAATTCTAACTTGCAATTGCAATTTGCTATTTCTGACTCATTTTCTGAGATTATACACCTATATCCAAAAAATAATAACAATTAAAAAGTAGACTAAGCCCTAAATCCGTGTCTATGTATAATGCTAAACTTAATTACCATTTTTTTCCAGGCTGTAAAAAGAAGAAAAAAAAAAGGCAAAGATATTTTTGACATTTTGGGCAAACAGACTACATGTTTAAACACTATTGCAACAGAAGACCAGCTACAGCTTTAAAGCTATTCCCTCTTTTAGAAATGAACATACTCTGACTTGTTAATGTTGCAAGTTTAATCTCACTGAATAACATATCCAGAAACACTCAGGTGCTAGGGAGGAAATTTTGATCAAGTAATGCAGCACATAGACTTCACGGTAGAGCACAGCTAATGTGATGTATTCACAGCTGTACTGTCCCCAGGACTGTCCCACATTCTAGCCTACACGCACGAGGGGCTTCTCAGACAACCAAAACTGGTAAACTCTATTAATTTAGATTGAGATAACGCTCATTGAGCCCAACTGGTTCCATCATATGTGTAATTTTCACATGATCTGGCTTTGTTTGGGAGTGAGGAGGGGTTACCTCTCTGGACGAAATTTGTGCTTGTGTGGCCTCTGGAGATCCCAGCGCTGACACTCCTTGCCTGACTCAGTGTGGTCCATTGGTCCTCTGTAACTTTCTCCATTGCAGGTCATGCATTCAACTGGCGGAGGCAGGGAGAAGTATTAGTCATTTATATGACTGGTGACTCCCAGCCCAAAAGAAACTTATGTTGTAAATTGAATCCAACCTAGGGAGTTATTAAAAAACAAACAAATAAACAAAAATGGTATCTTTAAAATCAGGGTTCCTTGGGTTGGGAAATGACCAAATGACATTTGGAATACAACTACATCTCTTTCTTAGACCTAAGTCAGATCCTTAAATCTGGTAGCCCTGTATGGGACATTTATAGTTTGAAGGCAGCTAGGTGCAAACTGCATTTTATCCTAGCTATGGTAGTTTGCTTGAGTTCTGGTGCTAATCTCTGATGGGCTGCCCTGCTGAGCAGAGAGCATTGCTGTTAACTGATGCTATTATAGAGACACATATTTGAGGATTTCTGTTTGTTTGTTTGTTTTTTAGGTGCTACTTTCTAGTTAAAGACTATTCATAATTCTAAACCATATGGATCTGTATAAGAGCAGGAAAAGTGTAAGTCCACAATAATGGTCACATCACAAATTTAGGGAAGGGCACTCTGCCTCTAATTTCCCAGCGGTACATATGATGCTGTTCGTTTTCGAAACTAATTCTTTTTGGCAGCTTAAAATGATGATAAATTTTCAGCCTTGATTTTAGAAAGTGGGGGCTGGGGGAAGGTGGCCAGAAGCTACTGAATTGATTAGAAATTGCTGTTGTGTAAAATGTGCTACATAATTTAGGATGAGAGATCTTAAAATATGAAATGAATTCACTATAATTAACTGTAGGCAAATTTCTGAAGTGCCATTCCCCAATTAAGCTAATTGCAATTAAATATCACTTAGAAAATTTCAAGTTATGCTATTACTAAACTCTGTCTTCAGTCAAAACATCCACTATGAAAGTCTTGATCCTGCAGTGAACTCCAGGTTTTATCCCATTTGGACCTCAGTTAAATTGATCTTTAAATACTATCTCTTAATAGATTTCACAGCTCCCTCTAATTTTTTCATTTTCTCCTTTCTTCCATTCCTTTTTCTTTTCCCACCACTGCACAGCTAGAAAATTAAGGACCTCCAATCCTGAGAATTAAATGAGTTCATTGACTGGAAATGAATTGGTGATTAGCAAGATATAAAAGCATGATTTTGAGGATAACCGAAAATAAAATTTCCTCATTTAAAGTATCCATTTGAAAGACAAAGCACATGTTTAATATGGGCACTTGGCCTCTACTTCAGTATAGATATTTTCATGATAATGATAAAAAGCTGATTTTACTATGGCACAACAGTAGAAGATCTCATGCAGTAGCAACACGGGAGTGATTAGCGAATTCCCTGCAAAGTAGGCAGTGAAGGAATGGCTCTCATATGTGTGATCAGAACAATGTCATTACTCCAGTTTCTCAGACTTGAAAGTTGATGGGCCTGAATGTGTTTTTCCGGATTTCCAAATCTATTAGAATATATAAAAAGATCTTCTCTAACAACTTTGCTTTTCCTGAAAAATGTGTCATTCTTGTGGAGAAATCACCCACCCTTTGCTTCAGAGCGCATAGGCGAGTGTCACTGCCACTAAGAACACTTTCCTGTCCCTGCTATTTGTACTCGGGTCTGGGTCGCGAGCCGTGTGCGTTACCTGCCGAGCAGAGGGGGATGTCGCAGACCTCATGGCGCGTCTCGGGGCTGGTAGTGAAGCACCAGGGCCCTCCCTCTTCCCCTCGGGGATTTCGGCAGTAGTTTTCCCGCAGGTCTTTACCCCGATAGCTCGAAGGCAAAAAGCTAGTTTTAAAATGACAATCATTACAGTATAAGAGCATGCAAGCTTCAGTGTTAATCACAGTATTTTCACAAACAGAAGCAATCCCATTTCTGCTCACTTCTCCCTCCACCCTGCCCACCCAAAAGCACGCACCTAAATATCTGTTCGGACACAAATACACATCTCCAGTCAGGATTGCTCAACCGATGGGCAAAGTCTGGGACAATCTGTCTGGCCTGTAGCTTGCGCTAGCAAATTTTGCTCCGTCCCTTGGGCACCAAGAACCAGTGATGGCCTGCGGAGCACTCTCTTTTTCCTTAGGGTTTGGATAGAAATGTTTGCTCATACGATGCTTTCACTATCATTTTCACTATGATATTTTGCTGTCTATGCCTAGATCATCAAATATGAACACTCCAGGGTCAAGGTTTTGAAGCTAACTCCATTCTATCCATTCTAAGGAGCCTGATCCCAGAGCTCATTCACTTTTTACCCCTGCTTCAAGAGCCACAGTCAGTCTGCATATTACAGACATGCCCAGTGTCACATTACCAGAGATCTCATTGCAGTGGTGCTTAAACTAAGTCTCTACAGAGAAAAAACATACTAAATTCAGCATATGTTCAGTTCTATCAAAAATCTTTTGAGAGATAGGCTAACTGAAAAGTGGGAGGAAACACATAGGAATCATGCAAAACTTGCAATATAGCTTAATAAATTAATTTCATTTAAAACATCTTTTTTTTTCCATTTTTGAATGAAAATAAAACATACACGTTTTCTCCTGAAAATGTCCATTCATTTATTTTAGATTTCCTTTTTTTTTTTTTAATCTTCAAAGGAATTCAACACATCTATATTCTGGTGAAGAAAAAGACATAAAATTTCACCCAGCTTCCTTCAGAAGAATGTATACATTTTTAGCTCAGGAAACTGAACTAAGCATTTGGAACAGTCTTTATACACAAGCACTGATATAATTTATATCCAAAATCACAAGGGACATGTATGGTTCCTGCTCCCCTTGGCAAGCTCTATGTTATGAATGAATGCAAAAGAAAAGAAAATTCCTACATGTGACATTCTGATCATGTTTGATTTCATTTAATGAAATCTTTGAATGAACTGAAGTGGAAAATACCTCTGTTAATCACATTCTGGTTCTAGTTAAGGCAATGTGGAAGCAGTACTTAAAAGTGATTTTTCTTATTTTTGGTCCTTGAAGAGAATAACTTTTCTGCCATTACTATTGCCCATGACATTTTTGCTTCTGTTATTTCACGTCTGTAGTCTTAAAATACAAATCTCTCAAAATATTTTAGCTACAGGCAGCTGGGCAAACTTTTCTGATGGGGCATTATACCTTGTGTATGTGGTAATGCGCTACGCCATTGAATGTTAGAAAATTGTTCTTTCCTTCTGGAAAATCTTTTTGCTCAGAAATGATGATTGGCAGAAAACATAGGAAAAAGTGATCTCCAATGACCTTAGATATGTTGTCAGAACATAAAAAAAGTAAGAAGCGTTCCTTAATAGAATGAGAGACCCAAGATAGGTCAGATATAAAAATGTCTTCAACAGCTACTGAAGCCACATTTTTGAGAGAGGAAAAGATGAGACACATAAAAGACCCACCCAGAAATGGGGAAAAAAAAAAGCGCAACACTAGTGCACTGGTTTAGTTGAACTATACTAGCTAAAGAAAGAAGAAGAAAGACAGAAATTCATGCCAGTAAGAGTAATGGCGAAAGCAGATTCAACCACAGCAAAACTCAAAAAAAAGTTTACTGGGTACTATTCTGCTCCTTGAACCTCTTTCTTTGACTCTTTCTATACTGGCTTTAGCCACTTAGATAATAAAGTCTGAAACTATCTAGGACAGTGACTGAAAAATGGAGTTCCAAGTTCATTTGGGAGTCTCCTGGTTCTACTGAAATACAAACTCTTTTAAAACATACAATTTTCTAAATACAAAGAGAAATGTTAAGTCTGAAGTTATGTCTAATTTTGCTGGGAAGTTTGTGAAAAAATCAGTAAAATACATTTATTCCTAGAATATGAAAAAAAGGATTTATTTTCCAAGTGGCATTTTGTGATAATCAGATGTTGAGAATAACTGACTGAAAAATCTAAGCCTTTCATTCTAATAAGTTCCAAACTCACCACTACTGTTTGCTTCTTCCCTTTTCCCTCATGTCTCTGATGATGAAATCATATTTTCTGATGTTGAAAAACAAAATTAGCATGCAGCCACCTCATTTATCCAGTGACCTTTTAAAAATCAAGCTTATTGCACAAGGCAGGAGAAGTCATTCTCATAAAATTCATCATGGAAGAGTGGCTGTCCAAATTTATTAGATAAAGCTGTGTATGCTATACTTAAAAAAATGCAACATAGTGACACATATATTTCTTCTCATATACATCTTTCTCTTAATATATAAAAGCACATGTATATCTATCATATAAAATCAAATATGCATTCCTGGTTAGACAGTAATCCCTGAGAATTCTTTCACTTATAAAAGGTGAAGAGTGTATAACTCTCCAAGGTGCAGAGACTCAGGAGGCCCCTGCAGTGTGAGCTGATCACATTTAGCATGTGTTCACAATTAAGCATGAGTCTGTTCACGTACTGAAAATGAAACCCACCCCTGTGTATAGTCTGAGCCATCAAGTCCACATTTTGGGCTGCCTGGGGCTCAGCTCTGTACCACATTGTACAAAGAGAGAACCCAAGTCTCCTTTGCCCTTTTAATGTCGTTCCAAGCTCTCATCTTGCCCTCTGGCTCGACTGAATCTGGACAGGCCTGAGCAGGGTATAGACCAGTTCCTCACTAGTAATCTCCAGCTTGGCCCTTTCTACCCAAGTGTTGAGGCTGTGAGTTGAGTAAAAGTCAGCAGCAAGGATGGGAGGCTTGCGGGTGAGAGGGCTCACAAGACTCCTCTGGACTCTGTCTGCAGTGCAGATACAGTCTCAGTTCCTCTCTATATCAGGCCTTGAATTTAAAAGTCCCTCAGCTGCTCAATCTCCCTTGAGTTACTGCTTGCATGATCTGAAGGGAAGGATTTCATTCATCTGCTAATCCTTTCTCTGTACTTGCCACCTATTCAAAGGGCTTTATAAAGTTTGAAATCTGCCGTGAATGCATGCAAATCAATACATATATAGTAACAAAAATCATATATGAATCAAATAGGTGGACTAATATCCTTCCTATATTGGATTTTTTAAAAAGACATATTTCTGAGGAGTCAAATAGAAAATTGTGATAGCCTTTCATACCTAAAGTTAAAATAGCACAGCTGTTTGGCTACTGCCAGGAGCCAAGAGATCAAAAGGATATAAACAGGGAAAAAAAAAAGAAAAAAAAGTGGAGAAAAAAAAAGGCAGAAAGGAACGGATCCAGGTATACATCCATGCTAGCATTAAGACCTCTTTGGAGAAAGTCTGTAAGGTATCTCCTGAAGGTAAGAATTTTTTAGGACATGGAGAATGGCACCTCTTGGGGAAATGCAAAAATGTACCTAAGAGACATTGTTGTTTAAGCTCAATTTTCTCATAAACTCTTTGTCTGCTAATAAGTCAAAGTGTGGTCTGTGAGAGCCACCACAGTACCAGGTAGAGCTGTCTCCGCTCCTGAACACCTACCTGTGCTCATGGGGGATCATGGAATTCCAGGCCTGACACTGGATCCCGCTTCTCGTAACAGATATTGTGCCTTTGTAGTTTGCACCTTTTCCGATGATACAGTTCCTAACATAGTCTGTGGAAAGAAAAGGGGCAAAAAATAGGAGTTTGGCTAAATATTGCCTCATTTTGTCTAGCTCATCAACAGTCTTTAAATAATAGAAAAAAAACTTCTGATAGTATTTACAGATACCATGATTCAAAATATTGTTAAATTTTCCATGTGGATTCTTGTTTCTTAAGAACAAAACAGATTAACTTAACTTGAAAAGCTACTGAAAGCACTAAGACTGGAAATCCAGAATAAAAACAGTATTAAGTCAATACCAGCAATTCATATGACTGAGCAAACTGAAGTAGCAATTTAGACTAGTACGAGTCATGGGAGACAGGTTAGAAAAATGACTCAAGCTGAATATATAGACCAACATTGTCCTCATATGACAGCTAAGATAAAAGATATTTGTAAATAGAACTGTAAGACGCAGCCTTTAGAGAGTATTAAACATCCTACACCCAGGATGCATCTACCCTATAAAAGTCATTGACTGACCTCAGCTATTTTTCCTTCCATTGCTGGAAAAAACAAAATCAGTAAATAAATCAGTTACCCTTCTTTTCATAGAGATCAAACGCATGGTCTTGCTTCTTTCTCACACCATTTGTCAAGCTGGTGAAGGATAACCAATGGCATCGTTTTGTAACTCTGTCATAAGCAAAGGCCCTGCAAAGAAAATCTGGATGAGAAAAAAAAATCTCTGTGTGGTTTATAATAATGACACATGGCTTGCCAAGGAGCATGCAATGACATCAGATTTATTTTTACTGGGAAAGTCAGAGAAACAGCCCAAATTAGTATTTAAACCCACAACTGTGCTGACAAGAACAAAGAAACAAAGAAATTAAATTGATGTGGCCATTACATTAAATGCCAGCTTAGTTGTTCACACTAATATAAGAGTTCCCTTGTCATGAAATATCTCTATTTTAAAAGTGAGATAAATGTGACTGAGACAGTATTTTCTCCCAGTTCAGCTGTTTCCTAGGGAAAAAAAAAAAGTAAAAAATGAAAGGATCTTCTTTGCCGTGGTTCTTTACTTTCCTGTGAAATAGTTAATTATCTCACTGATAGCTAGAGGAAAAAGCACAAGGAATCTGTGCCTTGCCTAGAACAACACAGCTATTTGAAAGCAAGACTATTTTTATTTTACAAATAGTCTAAACTGTGATAGTGTACCTACAGCTTGTCCTTGCCGTGCTTTTGTTTTCTTTTCTCTCTCATTTTTAACTGCTTTCAAGGATGGAGTACAATGTGTGCTGGATTCAGTGTATTTTCTTTGTGGGGGGATAGAGTGGGAGAAAGATAAACAAAAAATTGGAAAAGTAAAATATTTTATTTCAGCATTTTAGGTGAAATGTATAGACTTCTTTGTCCCAGTAATATTTTGAAAGGAATATCCTTAAATACACGTAAAATATTTAAAGGATTTTAAAAACACAGAAGTAAAGGAAATACATTTATTCACACCAAATGTTTTGCTGGGTTGCAAAGTCCAGAATACTAGGGTTGGAGGGGTGGGGAGGGCAGGCAGATATTCCTTAAGAATAAAAAAGCAAAATAATAAACAACTTAGAGTTCATTTTCCCCTATTTTTTTCAGGAGAATTAAGCAACACACTATCCACATGACACTATTACCTTTACCCCACCATGAAGTCTGTTCTTCTCAGCCATCCATCATCCCAAATGTTCTCAGCTGCTTCATTCTAGCCTATGAAGGCATTTTTAAAATTGCTTAATAATATCCAAAGGACACACAGGTTTCCTATGCTAAATCCATATTTTGGCACTTACACATTACTAGCTAAACAATCCTGCATCTCCAACACAAAGCTCTTTGGTTTCCATTTAATCTCCCTCTAACAAGTTTTCTGTTGAAGATCTTGCTGGCTTCAATTAGGAGGATTACAAGATCCAATCCAACCTCCCCACTTGTCTCTCTCTTTCAAATATCCTCTTCATTATCTTTTCCATCACCAAACAGATTTTTCATCCAACTGCTCTCTCTAGTCTGTTGACTCCAAATGTTTCCAACCTGCTAACCTTCATCCTTCTGCCTTTGTTCAGCCTTCTGTTCTCTGCTGGCTACTTCTCAAAATGTGAATGTATCCAAGTCTCTCCAACTCCATCTTCATAAAAATATCCTTGACCTTTCCTGCCTTTCCAATTACATTCTCCTTTCCCTTCCTCCTCCTAAAGTGGGAATGCAGAATACACTGTTTACAAACATTTCTTTTAGCTTTTGCCTTTCAGTTGGCTCTTGGTTTCCTTCCAGTTTGGCTTCAGCCACTTCTCCACATAAAAGTTTCTAACAGACTTTTCTTGGACCTGAATCCAGAGGGTTTTTACACATCCAAAGTCAACATATTTAAGCAAATTCTTGGACTATTTTCTACTGATACTGCCGATCACAACATTTTTTGTTATTGCTATTTGTACTGAGATAGTCGGTAGAGTTTCAGATCTGATACTGGAATCGCATGGTGTATACTGGAATTCCATTCTGCACAAATATAAAATAAAAGGCATTCCAGAAAGCAAGAGAACAACAGAGAATAAGGAGGCAAGCAGAACTTCATAGGTACAGAACTGACATGTCTGCAGCAGCCATCTGGATAGCCAGCAAAACAGTAGTGTCCTTTTTCATGGATTTTATTCTCCTCCATAAGGAAATTCATCCTGCGCAACATGCTCTAGATGTCCCTGCTTGAGCATTGGGGTTGGACTAGAAGAGCTCTAGAGGTCTCTTCCAACCTCAACCATTCTGTGATTCTGTGAAAATGTAGGGAAAAGAAAAATTCAAGGATGACTGAGGGGAAAACATTGGGAATTATGGACTGTGCTTATAAAAAGGAATAGGAATAGCTTGGCAGTGAGTTAATAAACAGATCAGGAGGTAGTCATGAAGTCAAAAAGATACAGTAAATTAATCTAAGGGAGATTTTGATGGGGAGATTTTAGGAATAGTGTTATGAGAGAGAAACTAGTCTAGATAAGAATCTTGTAATACACATTTGAGATGAACAAGATGTGTGCGAAGTGATAATAAGGGAGAAGACGAAAAGCCAGCTCTGAAAAATGGCCCATCTTAAAAACAGCAAGGATTAATGATTACAAAATATAAACCATATAATCTACATTCATCATTTATATTCAAGCATGAGAGAAAAAGAAGATAAATATATCAAAAGTTGTCTTATTCCTTTCTTTTTTTTTTTCCCAGAAGGTAAGGGGAGACTAATTCTATGTAGGCCTATAGTTCCTGAGATGTGCCGCTTTGCTACCTTCTGTCAGGGAAAGAAGGCTCAACCACTTCCTGCTTGGGTGACTTGCAGGGCACAGACCTGATATACCCACATCAAACAGTAAATTAATTGGATTTAATCTATATTGGCAAAAAGTTTCATCCTGTAGAACCGGTATGAAGTTAAAGAATGGATATCCTAACAGTAAATGGGAAACATTACAGAACATGTCAAATATATGTTTACGGTAGCATCAAAGAACTATATACATTGCAAGAGGATTCATTTGAGGCCAAATGGGAAACCATGAGAATGCTCCCTGATGCAGAAGATCTCTCCTGTTCTGCTGCATAGTGGCAGCTCAGGCAAGAACAAATCCCCTGCACCTCTCCTGCTAGCCTTTCCCTTTAAAAAAAGTGTAGGGGGAAACAGGAAATTCAGAGTATTAGAAGTCAGCCTTGAAATTCTATTCTGTCTCCAACGCAAAATAGTTAAAAGATTCTCCCAATAGTTGTAAGATTCTCCTAAACTCTCTTCTCAGATTCCTTTGTGGCTCCTCTATATTCTTTTATTGATTGGTTATGGCAAAAAGAGCTTGCCCCTTAATGAACAGTTATTGTCTCAATGCAAAAATGAAATGAGAAAATAAATAATAATAATAATAATACAAAAGATTTTCTGTGTTTTCTTTCAGGTTATAACGTATAATATATTAGCCTAAACTAAACAAGAAGGGAAAAGGAGTGTTGCATAAGACAGGGCAATCAGTATGATGCAGCCAAGTCAGAAGGCATCCAGAGGGAGCATGGAAGTGGGGAAGTGAATATAAGGTATGACTGTAGAGGGTCCTCTTTCACCCCTTCCAGGAAACCTGCAGGCTCGATTACTTCTCTGAAATGCCTGCACACCAATGCACGCAGCACGGGAAATAAACAGAGGAACTGGAGCTCTGTGTGCAGTTCCAGCATCATGATCTCTTTGGAATCACAGAGACATGGTGGGATAACACATGACTGGAGTGCTGCAATGGAAGGCTATGAGCTCTTTAGGCTGTGAAGGCGAGATGGTGGAGTTGCTCTTTATGTGAGAGAGCAACTGGAATGCATGGAGCTCAACCTGGGGGTGGATGATGAGCGAGTTGAGAGCTTGTGGGTAAGGATTAGAGGGCAGGCTAATGTGGGAGATATTGCGGTAGGTGTTTGCTACAGGCCACCTGAACAGGACAAGGAAGTTGACGAGGCCTTCTACAGACAGCTGGAAGTAGCCTCATAGTCACAGGCCGTGGTCATTATGGGGAACTTCGACCACCCTGATATCAGGCAAAAGCAGTCCTGGAGGTTCCTGCAGAGCATTGATGGTAACTTTTTAACACAGGTTGTGGAGGAGCCAAAAAGGAGAGGTGGGCTACTGGACCTTTTACTAACAAACAGAGAGGAACTTGTAGGAGATGTGAAGGTGGGGGGTAGCCTCGGCTGCAGTGACCATGAGTTGGTGGAGTTCAGGATTCAGCAAGGAGGAAGCAGGGCCTTGCAACCATGGATTTCAGGATGGCCAAATTTGGACTCTTCAGACACCTACTTGGAAGAATCCTATGGGCTAGGGCTCTAGAAAGAAGGCGGGCCCAAGAGAGCAGGTCAATATTCAAGCAGCACTTCCCCCAAACTATAAATCAATGCATCCCTATGAGTCAGGTGGGGTGGGGGGTGGGGTAGGAGACCTGCGTGGATAACCAAAGAGCTCCTGGCAAAACACAAACCTAAGAAGGCAGAATACAGAATGTGGAAAAAAAGGACAGGCCCCTTGGGAGGAATATAGGAATGTTCTCAGAGAATGGAGGGATGCAACAAGGAAGGCTAAGGCATATTTGGAATTAAATCTGACAAGGGATGTTAAAGATAACCAGAAGAGCTTCTTCAAATATATTAGTAGCAAAAGGAAGATTAGGGAAAATGTGGGTCCGCTGGTGAATGGGGTGGGTGCCCTGGTTATGAAAGACACAGAAAAAGCTGAGTTACTGAATGCTGCCTTTGCTTCAGTATTTACCAAGGCAGCCCTTTGGAATGCCAGGCCCTAGAGACAACAGAAGAAGCATGGAGAGAGGAAGACTTGCCCTGCGTAGAGGAAGATTGGGTTAGAGAACACTTAGGTAAACTCGATACCCACAGGTTCATGGGCCCTGATGGGATGCACCCCAGAGTGCTGCGTGAGCTGGCAGATGCTATTGCTAAGCCACTCTCTATCATCTTCAAAAGATCCTGGAGAATGGGGGAGGTGCCTGAGGACTGGAAGAAAGCCAATGTCACGCCAATCTTCAAAAATGGCAAGAAGGAGGATCCAGGCAACTATAGGCTGTTCAGCCTCACCTCCATCCCTGAAAAAGTGATGGACAGCTTATCCTGGCTGTTGTCTCTAAGCATGTGGAGGACAAGAAGGTGCTCAAGAGTAGTCAGCATGGATTCACCAAGGGGAAATCTTGTTTGACTAACCTGATAGCCTTCTATAATGGAATGACCAGCTGGATAGGTGAGAGGAGAGCAGTAGATCTCATTTTATCTCAGTTTCGGCAAGGCTTTTGATGCTGTCCCTCACATCATCCTCTTGGGCAAGCTCCGGAATTGTGGGTTAGATGAGTGGATGGTGAGGTAGATTGAGAAGTGACTGGATGGCAGAGCTCAGAGGGTGGTGATCAGCGGTGCAGAGTCTAGTTGGAGACCTGTAGTTAGCAGTGTCCCCCAGGAGTCAGTCCTTGGTCCAGTCCTGTTCAATTTATTCATCAATGTCCTGGTTGAAGGCACAGAGCGCTCCCTCAGCAAGTTTGCTGATGATACCAAACTGGGAGGAGTAGCTGATACCCCAGAGGGCTGCGCTGCCATCCAGAGGGACCTGGACAGACTGGACAACTGGGGTGGGTGACAAGTTGACCATGAGGCAGCAGTGTGCCCTCGTGGCCAAGAAGGCCAATGGGATCCTGGGGTGCATTAAGAAGAGCATCTCCAGCAGGTCGATGGAGGTGATCCTGCCCCTCTACTCAGCCCTGGTGAGGCCACATCTGGAGTATTGTGTCCAGTTCTGGGCCCCCCAGTACGAGAGGGATGTGGAGCTGCTGGAAAGAGCCCAGCACAGGGCTACAAGGATGATCAGGGGCCTGGAACATCTGCCCTATGAGGAGAGGCTGAGGGAGCTGGGCCTGTTCAGCCTGGAGAAGAGAAGGCTGAGATATACACCTGATCAGTGTATATTAATACCTCCAGGGAGGGAATGAGGAGGATGGGGCTGGCTTCTTTTCAGTGTTGACCAATGATAGGACAAGAGGAAAAGGCCACAAACTGAAGCACCAAAAGTTCTACAGGAACTTAAGGAAAATTTTGTTAACAATAAGAGTGACAGAGCACTGGAACAGGTTGCCCAGAGAGGTTGTGGAATCTCCTTCTCTGGAGATATTCAAGACCCACTTGGATGCAATCCCATGCCACATGCTCTAGGTGACCCTGTGTGAGCAGAGGGGTTGGACTAGATGATCTCTAAAGGTCCCTTCCAACCTTAACGATTCTATGATTCTATGATACTTTTTGTGTCCTGAACATATAATATACCAGCCAGAGCATTTACAACTAGAAGGGGCTTGAAACAATTTTCTTAAGCACATGTTGGAATTTAGAACTGCTGTATGCTTGGCATCATTCACAATTTTTCTTTTCATCTTGTGAAACCTTATTTAATAATACTCCTCACTACTGACCATCAGAGCTCATGGATCTTTTTCTGTGTTGGGAACAACCTGATCCCCTTGGCAATGATTTTAGGGAAAATTCTGCCAATAAGATGAGGAGTCAACCCCTACTCACTTGCCATGTGAAAAATATTAGTGCCTGGAAAATATTTCTAACAGTTGTAAGTAAACTCCACTTATTATTTACACATGTAAATATGTAGTCAGGGTACAAAATGATACAAACCAGATAATGCAATTAAAGGCTTAAAGAAGGAGGATTTGGAGGATCTTTGCTTAGGAAGAGTTTTGTTATCATATTAGATCTAGCTTCCTTTTGCAATGAGTGGCAAAATTTGTATGTATTTCAAGATCAGGCTCACATTTGGCACAGTACTCGCCAGTGCAGAAGTAAACCATTCTCTCAAAGATCCTCCTGCATTCATGTCCTTTCATTTTTTGCTAATGGTACAGACTAAGAGAGGCCAGAGGGATAATTCAAGTCTAGCACATAGGAAAAATAATAGCCGTTTGTTCCAAAAAAACACTAGAGAATATGTACTAGGCAGACAAACAATCAGCTGCATGATGTGTTTGTAAGAGACGGCAGATGCTGAAGAACTGCTATCGTATATTTGCAATGATTCTGTAGCCCAAAAGGTTTGATTCTATTGTATCACATTCACAGGACTTGGCAGTGAAGCTCAGCCGTGCTTATATCTGTATTCCATGTGTGAAATTCCCACCGATTTCAGTGGGAGTAATGTGCAAAGCATGAAGACAGAATATGGCCTGAAGTGGTGCTGAAATATTGCAGCTGTGATGTGTAACAATAACCATTTATAAGAGATATAAAAATCTCAGAAATGTTCAGTGCATGTTACAACGCACAAGTCATCCACATCTTCAAACGAATACATTTTTTTCAGATATATTACAGAAAAGATTACAGACTGGATAAGTTGAGAAGACAGAACAGTTCATATTAAGGCTTCAGTAAGGACTGAGACTGTTCAGACAGGTAGAACACGATCACAGAAATCCAAAACGGACAAACTTTAGAGTGTCTTCAATATAAATCATTTATGTCAATTATATATGCCTGACATTTAGTTAGAGAGTATTGTATTTGTCTTATGATTAAAACATAAAATAGTAGTGATACATAACTTACTTGCAAGTGAATGAAAGGCCTTTGTTCCTATTGCATCTCTTGGCACATTGCTCCGTGGTATTTAACAGCTTGGTTTTTACTTCCAGTGATTTGTTTACTTTAATGAGCATCATCTCTCCTGTTTTCTTGAAATCATGAAGAGGATTTCTCCTTTTTGCTTTCCCCTCTGAGAAAAAGGTCAACAAGAAAAAGAAAGCAAATACTGTAAAGAAGAATACAGACAAAAATGGCATTCGTGGTAAGTGAGGGTTTGCTAAGGGGTTATGGGAACATTGGTCCCTAAAATTTGCAGAGAAATTCGCAGCAGGCATAAGCAGAAATATGGGAAGAACTGATTTCTGGGGATGGTACTGGTTACTGATTAATGGGATGGTGATCCCCGTTCTCAAAACCCTGACTCTCTTGAAATACAGCCAAACTCATACCAAACAGAGAATTTAGTAATACCAGAAACGTGTAAGAGGCAAATTTTTCTTTTTCTTTAAGACCCCCCAATATATGTGTGTTATTCATCAAGTCAAATCTGAGATCTTAAAAATCTTCATGTGGGAAAAAGAATAAAGTAAAAAAGATGGACAAAAGTCTTCTTTAGAAAGGCAACATAGACTTACAAAGAAAAGGGTGTTTTGCAACTGAAGTAGGTGCCATTTCTGTTCTCAGATTGATATAATTAGGCTAAGAAGTGCTGGATGGAAAACGCACCAGGCAACAGTTTTAGAGAAAAGGGTCTATATGTTATAAGGAATCACTGTCAGAACGTGATAAACTTCTCTTAGCAGAGCAAACTCTTAATCACAACTTGTGAATGGAACTGGAGCCTGGAAGACGCACAGAATAATCCCTTGTCTCCACCATGATCCAGGGAAGACACAACATAAGTGTTGTATCCAACCTAGGTGTGATTGAAGTGAAGTCATTAAACCAAAAAAAAAAAGAAGATGAGGAGGGACAGAGACCCTAATATGGCAGTAAGAGTGTGCACTGTTGCAGAGATTTCTACGGAAAGGAAAGCATGGATCTGATTTCCCTGTCTGTCAAAAAGGCGAGTATAAACTACAGCAGGGAAGGTTGGCTAGAGATGGTTGGCTAATGTGCAGGAAGGAAACGTCTTTCATTTTTGCAAGAAAACACTATACTTGTTCTGCAAGAAAACACCACACTTTTTCTACAAGAAAAATCTTTTTTTTCTCGATGGGAAAACCAATAGAAAACAATGCATTCATACGAAAAATGTATTTTCAACAAATCAGGATGTTAAAATGGACAAAAATTTAGCATTTCGTATTGATTAAATGCAAAATTTGAGGGGCTAATATGTTCAGTGCTGGGTGTCCTGTGAGACAGTCCAGACATCTCCGCAGTCCGCAGAAGCACACGAGTACCTCTGGAGGGGGATTCTCCCTGTTTAACGACAGACGAGTAACGAGGAAAAAAAAAAATGGTCTTTGGAGATGTTTCTATTATTTCACTCAGGGATCATACATTTAAGTAGATAAAGTTAAGTGAATGAATTCCTCTCTAATTTACAAATTAGGAAATAGTCACTGTTATCTATAGCTTCTTTTCATGTAGCAGTTTCCACATCTGTCCTTTCATTTTTCTCCACAGCCTCTACAGCAATGACAGAACATCAATTTATTGAATTCTGCCAGAGTTCTGCAATTATACGAATGCTCAACCTCGCGCTCCATTATCCTGAATAAATAATTCCTTGTGCAAGTGCAAAGTGCACTTAGGTGAATTTTTGTTTGGCATGCTCTGTGCAGATGTTCAGAATAACTCCATGAATTGCAAGGCAGCACTAGAGGAGCTTCCCACAGCTGTGAACGACTTCCTGACACTTGCACATACTGCAAAGCCAAAGAGGGCCTGAGGGTGTTTTCTCTGCAGAACCTCCGGCTGTACCATTACATGAGCTCAGTTTTTCACTGGATTGTTAAATCACACCTCTCAGTGGTGAGTTATCCATAGAACACCAAAATATACATGGAAGGCATTTATATTAGGTTTCATCAAGCTTCAGCTATTATAAAAATCACAGGAATAAGTATCTGCTACTATGCAAAAACTCTGCTCTCTTATTTTCTCCTCTTTTTCAAACTGCTGAGTGTGAACATGCAACTCCTTTGTGCTCAGTAGTTCATAGTTCATTCAAAGTACAGACATTTTCAGAATGATAAATTTATGAATTGCTGTCCAAATCTGTTATCCTTATTTGAAGGAGCTTTCAATTAAAAGATGAAACTAGTCCTGTTGCTGTGTTAGGGATACATACTATCGGTTCTAGGGTTTTCCAGTCTAGCATTGTGCATTGCTAAGTGCATATGCACCTAAACTGAATCATAACATTTAGGGAAATGTTAGGAGGAAACTATTGTGTTAAGTATTAGCAACATATCTCTTTTTTTATTTGTTTCTGTTCCTATGATAGAGCCAAAGTGCTACAATAAATATCGCATCTGCTATTTAAGGCAACCACAACAAAGCAAGCCTTCCATAAAGCTTTGGTGATAAACATCTTACTCTCTTATCTTACAAGTTTTCTTTGTTATTTCTATTTTGTCTCAGACATGGGTTTTTTATGTCAATGTAAAAGGTAAAAATTTTACAGAAATATCAAAGCATTTTCTTCCAGTTCCTGATGATAACATTTCCCCTTCACTGATAAGTATCATTATCTTAATTCCTTATGATAACAGCCTCTTGTACTCTCATCAGCTATCAGGCAAGAATACGATAAAAAGGAAATCAAACAATTTTGTTCAGGCTGAAAAACATGGGTCATAGCTGTGCTCTTTTTTTTTTCTGAGAAGTTGTCTAAAGAGGATGATGGGTTTGATCTTGCATTTATCAATTCATAACAGCCTGATTTACTTTAGTTTTCAAACAATAACATTCTATGACTTTGCCTGTAATCCAGAAGGCACAGGGCCAAATGCATCTTTGGTGTGACTCTGTTAGAACCAGAAGAATAATGCAAGGCATTAATTCTCTAACTCCACCAAAAAGAACAAAAAAGAAATAAAAATAATTGAGCTTTCTTTTTTAATTCAAATTCAGTGCTTTTATTTTTAAACTCTTAAATAAAAGAATGCCCTAGAGATGTTCTGTACTAAAGACTCTCATGCAGCACTCTCTGATAGTGCTAATTTGTGATCAGCATTCATTCCTGTTTCCTAAATCTTCATCAGCTAAGACTTCGGGTTATTTTGTGGATTATATCTTCTGATTTTTCACATATTTAGCAATCAGATTTCCTAATCTGACATTCAGTTTACTATTGAAAATAATGACAGATGATTCAAATACAAAATAATCCAGTCGACTATGAGCCAGGAACGATCCTTAACTACATACACTCTTTATCTTCCCCAGGATGGGGAAGATTTTCCTTATCACCTTTTCTTGGAGGAGTTCCAGCCTATGGCAAAGTTCTCACAATACCACAGATAAATAAAATTATTGTTCTGCAGCCTTACAGTGAGAAACTCACCGGGAGGTTGAGGTATCTGCCTTCTAGCTGCTGCTTGACTGCATTTTTCACTGTTTTATACAAAAGTAGATCATGTCTACCAGCAACCACTGAGTAATGTGCCCTATGACATTCAGTATCATAGAGATTAAGACACTTTTCTGACTAAAAAGAGAAATATCTCTTGTGTCAGTAATGGATTTTGTACTTTGATCTTTCTAGGTGTTTTCTTACCACTGGGAAAATTGCAGCAATGTCGTTTTCTTTTTCTCTTCTGGTCCTGTGTCCCACACAAAAAAGAGTTTTGGGATCCTGCAGGACCACATCACTCACAACTGGAATTATTAGAACGTATTTTAGAACCTCAGCTCAAAACTGTATTCAAAATGTTATTACATTTGCGGTGTGGTTATTGCAGCTTGCTGCAACCTTATGCTTAGTACAAAATAATAGGTCTGATATCAAGCTACATGGGAATATAAATATAGTTTTAGGCCATTCATAGCTGAAATACCTAAACAAGTCGAGTTTCAGATTCTCAGGTCGTATTAAAACCGCAGAAAGGGTTTGTTTTTTCATTTCCCCTTCTGTAATATATATATATATATATATATATCCAAAATGATATCATTGTGTTGGTAAACAAAACAGCATACAGGACATTAACAAGCCAAAAGATTATTTTTGTCCAGTAAAATGAGATCAAAATATTGGTTGCATTTTCTATAGCAAAATTTTACAATGAAATGCTCTCACATTACGTACTCACCCCCTTTCTCCTTTCTTCACTTGTCTAGCCTTTTTAATATAGATGTTTATTTAGACTTAGGAGTTGTAATCTCACCAAGCACAACGGGAATGTACTGGCTATCTCCCCCAGACTAATCTGCCTGCTTTTACTGACTTGTCACAGACTCTACAGGGTTTTTATTGAACCCAAGTTGTGATACACTAGACCTTGTCAGCCTACAAGGTCTCCATGTTTCCCTCTGGTCTAAGCAACAGTTAGCCCTTTCTTAAAGAAACACAGCATGAGCCTCATTCCTTTCTTTCTAGGAATCTCTCTTTATTTTACAGTGTATGTGCATAAAAATGTAGCACCAAGTTTTCCAGATCAGAAGATAAATAAATATTAACACATACAAAAATACGTTTAAGTCAAGATCTTTAAAGAAATCTTTTTGTTTTGGTATTAAACCTATTTCCTGATTTTGTTTGCTTACATTTACAAACCTGGATAACAATTTTTAGAACTTCGATATTTTCCTAAGTGTTTGTTTGTTTTGTTGCACTATCCTTTCAGCTATCCAGGGCAACGAAAGATTTTTAGTAGGAAAACTACTTATGTCAGCCAGAGTCTTCATACTATGAAAGGAAAATAAAAGACCTTCTTAATTATCAGTTTTGAAGAAACTATATATATGAGCAGTCACATATCAGCACTGTCCATTACATGTTTTTTGGATAATGTCAGAGCTAAACTAAATCTTTGAACAGGAAAAAAAAAAAAAAGCAAATAATTTTTAGTTCTTCCAAGTAATGCTACGACATCCATAATCAAGTGGTATTAGGAAAAAAAAAAAAAAGGCAGGAAATTATCGGTGCACTGTGGGTACAAAGCCAGATTCTCTGTAGAATTGAAATGCATTCCTGTAAAGAAAAATGGTTATATGAAAAAAGTATTTCAGAAATTT